AAATCGTCGCGGATCAAAAAGATGATGGTTGTATTGAATTAAGCGACACAGTTTGTGATGAATTGGATACACCTAAGGAAGAAATTATTACAACAATTCAACCAAAGCTTACAAATAAGAAGCTTCAATTACCCAATCTTCCATCAATTCTTGCAACTGCAATTAACCTTTCATACCTTAAGAAAGCTGCATCTCGACATGAAGGTGAATGGAAAGATAAATATGATAAAGCCCGTAAATATCTCTCAGACCAAATAGGAGATGAAGAAGCCGAGAAAGAACTTTTAGAATGTATGGACGATTATGTAGTTAATAATTGCATTAAGAAGGTGATTAAAAATAAAAGGAGAAATTCAGTTCGTGAGGCGCAAAAGTCTGCCACACCAGAAAAATGCAATGATATAGTGTCTAATCAAAAGGATGATGGATCTTTTGAAGTTAGTGAGACAATTTGTAAAGAAATAGACGTTCCAGTTACCAATGTAGTAACTGAAATGAAAGAATGTACACAAAATCCAAAGCTTAAATCTCCAGAATCAGAACCATGGTGGAAGACAGCACTCACTACTAGCTACCTTAATATCGCTGCACCACATCATAAAAAACAATGGGAAGATAAACATGACAAAGCTCGTAAATACCTTTCTGATCAGATTGGTGAACCTGCTATTGAAAAAGAATTATTAGATTGCACTGATAAATATCTCGTTGATAACATTGCTAAAAAAGTTGAAAAAGATCATAAGAAAGAAGCTGCAATTGTAGTTATTCATGAATCAGCTTCTCCCGATAAACATGAAGAAATTAGATCTAAACAAAAAGATGATGGCAGCATGGAACTTGATGATTCAATATGTAAGGAATTGCATGCTTCTAAAGAAGAAATTATTGACACAATTAGAGGGAAGATTACTAATCCGAAACTCAAGTCACCCGAGCTTTCGTCAAGTCTTGAAACTGCTGTTAACCTTTCATATCTAAAAAATGTAGCGGCTAAATATAAAGGTGATTGGGTAGATAAATATAATAAAGCTCGTGACTATCTTTCTAAACAAATTGGTGATGTCGATGCTGAAAAAGAATTATTGGATTGTGCCGATGAGTATGTAATCGATAAAACTACAGATAAAGTGATTGAAGAAAAGAAAAAGTATGCAATTGATCTTAAGAAAGATGAAATACCGAAAGAAGAAAACCCTAAACCTAAATCTTTAAGTTTTTTCCGCTTTCTTTATGAAGGAGCTGTTAAACTTGTTGATCAAATTGAAAAAGCCCTTGGGTTTAATAAAGATAAACTTGATGATCATGAGAAAGCTGAAGCACTCATAATCATTGAGGAATCTGCCTCACCTGAAAAATGCAAAGAAATCGTCGCGGATCAAAAAGATGATGGTTGTATTGAATTAAGCGACACAGTTTGTGATGAATTGGATACACCTAAGGAAGAAATTATTACAACAATTCAACCAAAGCTTACAAATAAGAAGCTTCAATTACCCAATCTTCCATCAATTCTTGCAACTGCAATTAACCTTTCATACCTTAAGAAAGCTGCATCTCGACATGAAGGTGAATGGAAAGATAAATATGATAAAGCCCGTAAATATCTCTCAGATCAAATAGGAGATGAAGAAGCCGAGAAAGAACTTTTAGAATGCACGGATGATTATGTAGTTAATAATTGTATTAAGAAGGTGATTAAAGATAAGAAGAGAGATGCCGTCACTACGGTGCAAAAATCAACCACACCAGAAAAATGCGATGACATAGTGTCAAACCAAAATAATGATGGATCTTTTGAAGTTAGCGAAACAATTTGTAAAGAAATAGACGTTCCAGTCACCGATGTAGTAACTGAAGTGAAAGAATGTACACAAAATCAAAAGCTTAAATCTCCAAAATCAGAACCATGGTGGAAGACTGCACTCGCTATTAGCTACCTCAATATCGCCGCACCACATCATAAAAAACAATGGGAAGATAAACATGATAAAGCTCGTAAATACCTTTCTGACCAGATTGATGAACCTGCTACTGAAAAAGAATTATTAGATTGCACTGATAAATATCTCGTTGATAACATTGCTAAAAAAGTTGAAAAAGATCATAAGAAAGAAGCTGCAATTGCTATTATTCAAGAATCAGCTTCTCCCGATAAACATGAAGAAATTATATCTAAACAAAAAGACGATGGCAGCATTGAAATTGGTGATTCAATATGTAAGGAATTGCATGCACCTAAAGAAGAAATTATTGACACAATTAGAGGGAAGATTACTAATCCGAAACTCAAATTACCCGAGTTTTCATCAAGCCTTGCAACCGCTATTAACCTTTCATATCTGACAAATGCTGCGTCTAAATACAAAGGTGAATGGATAGACAAATATAATAAAGCTCGTGACTATCTTTCTAAACAAATTGGTGATGCTGATGCAGAGAAAGAATTATTGGATTGTACTGATGAGTATGTGGTTGATAAAGTTACAAATAAAGTGATTGAGGAACAAAAAAAGAAAGTAATCGCCATGAAAAAAGATGAAATTTCATTATTAAAGAGAATATTAGGTGAAAGAGAGTTTGAGGAAAAGGAACTTAAAGAAAAGGAACTTGAAGAAAAAAGAGAAGAACAAAACCAATAATTTGAGGACAATCGATCAAAACGTTTATGCAGAAGATTTAGAGTCAAGATTCGAAAATACTAGATCCACCAAATTAGATTTGAGCTACTATAATCTTGATGCTGAAATAGAAAAAGCTTTGATAAAGGCTTTAGGAACAAATAAAACTATTGTCTGCTTAAATTTAAGTTGTAATCGTCTTGAAATGAGAGATGATCTTGTAAAGGTCTTAGGAACAAACAATACTCTCACTAGCTTAAATTTAAAATCGACTGGTCTTGAGACTGAAGTAATAAAGAAGTTATTAATGATTTTAAAAACCAATAAAAGTATTACTAATTTGGATTTAAGCGATCAAAAAAGTGATTTGGATTCAAGCAATCATTGTATAAATGGAGAAGATTTAGTAGAAGCTTTGGGACAAAATATGACTCTTGTCAGTTTAAACCTGAGTAACAATTCTATTGATTGGTCCGAAATAAAATCGACAACTTTAAACAAAAACGAAACTCTTAAAAATTTGGATTTGAGTAATTGTAATATTGATTTTAAAATTGTAGAATTGGAAAATTTTTTGATACAATTAAAGAGTCTTGAAGAATTGAATTTAAGTTCAAATAATCTTACATTTCGATCAGAAAAAGCTATAGCAAAAATCTTGACAGACAATAAAACCCTTAGAACTTTAAACTTGAGTTCAAATAAGATTAATTTGTTAATAGAGTTAGAGGACAAGCAAAATTATGACGCATTCCGCTCTTTTAATCTAAACGAATTTGAGAACGCATTGAATAAAAATCAAACACTTAAAAGTCTGGATCTAAGTTTCAATCATCTTCATCTTGAAGCCGGGAGAAGTTTATTAAGAGCTTTACGGATAAATAAATCTATTACTGATTTGAATTTGAGCGACAATCATATTGTTTCTGAAATAGGGAATTCTTTATTAGAAATTAAATCTATTGCTAGAATAAATTTAAAATCAACAAAGATCAGTTCTGATGTAATAAAAGCCTTTGCGGACGCATTAAGAACTAATAAAATCCAACTCCAGAGTTTAAATTTGAGTAATAATGAAATTAGTAAAGATGTAATAGGACTTTTAATAGGAGCATTAGAAGAAAATGTATCTCTTAAAGAATTGGATTTGAGTCACATTGTAGAAGTAGGGAAATTGGGAGAAGAACTGAAAAATTCATTGGAAAAAAATCGAACACTCAAAATCTTAAATTTAAGCCATTGTTGTCTTCGCGCTAATGCAATAAA